CATAATACCAGCTCTGCTATCTCTTGTATCCATCTATCATCAGGATCCTGGCTTGAACCACCTAAACTCTCCGAGCTTCATTCATTTTCCTTATCTGAAAAATGGAGCCAATTATGCCCACGCCTCCCTGGGTTACTGGGAGGATTAAGTGTCATCACATATGTAAAACACATCACAAAGGACCTGGCCCTAAATAGCTGTCAGTTAATAGTAGCATTTGCTGCGAGGCATTGGGCGTTAAAAGCTGTTAAAAAGGATTTTGTTATATAAAGGTATTTTTAGGGGCGTCTGGGTGGCTCAGTGGGTTAAATGTCTGCCTTTGGCTCAGGTCATGATCTCGGGGTCCTAGGATTGAGCTCCAACTTGGGCTCCCTCTCAGTGGGGAGTCTGCTTCTCCCTCTCTCTCCCTCTGCCCTTCCCCCCTACTAGTGTGCACGCTTTCTCTCTCTCAAATAAATATAATATTAAAAAAAATTTAATGCAAAGTTACATATGCTAATTTTTTAGCACTTAAAAAATGATTTTGTTTGTTTGTTTATAGCAAGTAGGGAGAGGGGCAGAGAGAGAGAGAATCTCAAGCAGACTCCCTACTAAGCATGGAGCCCAAAAGGCAGGGGAGAGGGCATGGGCTTAATCTCATGACCCTGACTGAGATAACGACCTGAGCCAAAATCAAGAGTCAGATGCTTAACCAACTGAGCCACCCAGGCAGCTCACATATGCTAAGTTTTAAATGAACTATATTGATCATGTCTTCAGGGATCTAGAGTTTAGAGTATGGCTGTTAAAGAGAAATATAATGCAAGCCACATATGTAATTGTAAATTTTCTAGCAGCCACATTAGAAAAGGAAAAGAAAAGAAAAGGAGTGAAATTGATTCTAACAATCTAGTTTATTAAGCCCAATATACCCCAAAAATCATTTCAACACATAATTGATATAAAGATTATTAACGAGATATCTTATATTCTTCTTTTTTTGTACAAAGTCTTAAAAACCCGGTGTGCATTTTACGTTCATGGCAATCTCAATTCAGAGGCTGAATTGTCATCAGAGATATCTATCTGGTCTGTGTTTAGATTTCATAAAATTTAGAGTGGAAGAAGTAGATTCACAAAAGTAGATTCCAAACACAAATATTTTCCAATAAGTGAGTTGAATATCAGTCTCCAAATTAATTAAAATACAAAAAATTGAAGTATGAAGTTCCTGGGGCCCCTGGGTGGCTCAATGGTTGAGCATCTGCTTCAGCCCAGGGCATGATCCTGGGGTCCTGGGATCAAGTCCCGCATCAGGTTCCCCTCAGGAACCCTGCTTCTCTCTCTGCCTATGTCTCTGCCTCTCTCTCTCTCTCTGTGTCTCTCATGAATAAATAAATAAAATCTTTTTAAAAAATTAAAATTAAGTTCCTTAGTGTCGGTAGCCACATTTCAAGTGCTCAAGAGCTACATGTAGCTAGTGGTTAATTCCCAGGCCAACCCATGAGAAATAGAAACCTTCAATGGCTGGTTACAAGGAAAGGGGTGAGGAATAGCATTCCAGGCAGGTGGGTATGCACCTGGTGTGTGTCCAGGACAACACAGGAGCTGGTTTGATCAGAACCAACCAGTTGAGGTTGAAGAGGCATAGTGGAATCAGGTTGGGAAGGGCTTGGATCCCGGGTTACAACGTTATGATTTTATTCTGCGGCTAAAGAGGAGCCACTGGGTATTTTTTTAAAGATTTTATTTATTTGTTTGTTTATTTATTTATTTAGAGCTGCACAGAAGCAGCAGGTGGGGCAGGGGGAGAAAGAGAATCCCAAGCAGACTCCCTGCTGAGTGTGGAGCCTTTCATGGGGCTCAATCTCACAACCCTAAGATCATGACCTAAGTCAAAATCAAGACTCAGACACTTAACCTACTGAGCCACCCAGGTGCCTGGTACTGGAGTATTTCTAAGCAAGGGGTGGGTGACCTGTGTCCTGTCACTCCAGATGGAGCCCATGAGGGGACAGAGAGGGGAGAGACAGCAGCCAGGAAAAGCAGTTTGGAGATGGCTGTGGTAATTGAGGTGTGAGTGATAGCACCTGGCTAGTGTGGAAGTGAAGAGAAACCAGAGACCCAGCAGGGATTAGAAAGTGATGAGGCTCTTCAGAGTGAGGGTAAGGAAAGGGGCTAGATGGTGGGAGGTTTGGGGGCTGTACGCTTGGGGGACCTGGTTGACATGGAATGGCTTAAGGGACCAGGAGGATGCTGGTGCTTATCAGAAAGCGATTCCCCTAAGACAAATGGCTGAATCCAGGCCTGGGAGACTGTGTTTTTTTATGGATTTTTTTTATACAAATGTAGAATTTATAACACCCACTCCACCCTCTGAATCACGCGGTGACCCTGGACTTTGCCCAGAGTTTCTGAGATTGTAGGAGACACTCCTTAGCTCTAGGGAACCCTTTGGGGTGCTGGGTCTAGGCTGGAGCAGAGTTAAGGACTTTTTATAAGCCAGAGGAAAGGTCTAACCTTCCATTCCGTGGCTAGTTTTTCATACCCCTGACATCTTCTCTGGGAAAAGCATTACTTCTACTGTGAATTCACGTTTTGTTAGATGGAAGGGGGAAGGCTCTGCTGGAAAGGAAGCTGCTCCTTGGGTCCCCCTAATTGCTGTCATCTCCTGTCTCCACATGCCAATGGCCCAGGTCAAAAGCAAGCCTCCTGGGGCTGTTGGCACACAGTCGGATCTGGCCTGGCACTGTGAAACACACCCCACAATGCATTGTCTGGACATGTGGGGAGTGCCTGCTTGGACCAGGCACATGTGTGCTACATGTGGGAGAACACAAGGAGAATGAGTTTATGAGGAGCTTACAGTGGGCACAGCCGACTGGTCAACCAGCCATTACTGTGCTAAGTGGTGGCAGCAGGGACAGCTGCCCAGACCTTTGAGAACGTCTCTGCCAGCCAGGGAGCTCTGTGTGGGGCCTCTCTGGAAGCACAGGGCTTTTGTTTTTGTTTTTAAGATTATTTATTTAAGAGAGAGAGAGCACAAATGGGGGGGGGGGAGGCAGAGGGGGAGGGACTAGCAGATTCCCCACTCAGTATGAGCCCAAAGTAGGGCTCCATCCCAGGACCCTGAGATCATGACCTGAGCCAAAATTAGGCTTCACTGACTGAGCCATCCAGGCGCCCCTGGAATCACAGCTTTGAAAGAAGAAGAGGGGGTTGGGAAGGAAGGCCTTCTGGGCTGGATTATAACATCCAGATGAAGCCCAGGAGGCGTGGAGGAATAATGGACTAATAAATGAGATTACGGTGGTGGTCATCGTCTACCAACTCTCGCCAGATGCTAGGCACTGTCCAAGAGCTCCTCATCTGTTAGCCTTCTCCCCATTTCTCAGAAGGGGAAACTGAAGCTCTGAGCTTTGTAAAATGCACTCGCCGAGGTCAGGCTCAAGGGCTGGTGCTGATTCAAATCCAGAAATGCATGGCCCATGCCTCCTCTCTCAGCTCACGGAGCGCTCCAGGGCCTGCAAATCCCTCAGCCTCAACCTCAGAGCTCTCGGGGACACTGATCTACAAACATTAGGTTTTGTTATTGTCTTGATACGTGGACCAAAGTCAGGTCTTAGGGAGGCCCATTAGGGCCTCTCTAATGCTGATGGGAATAACTGGAAGGGCTCAACAGGTAGGTCCATTCAGGACATGACAGGGATACGTAAGTGACCATCATGGTCCTACCTAGCACTGCAGTGTCCACTATGGGGGCAAGAGTGTGCAAGAAAGATCCAGCCCCTGGTGTGTCCAGGCAGCTCTGAGGCTCCTGGCAGGGTGGGTCTGGGCAGGCACTTCCTCCCAGTGCTGGCTGGGCAGCTGACATGGGTTTTTCTAGATGAGGCGGGTCTATCTTCTGCAGGCCTGAGGATGTACAGTTTGTATAAACTGCAGACATCGCTGGCGTGCTGTGTAAACACAGACTATCTCCCACTCCAACGCTTCCTTTGGGGAGACTCCTCCTCCAAGTGGGATACTTGATTCCGCAGTTCTTATCAGCTTGAAGCTTCCTACCCTGATATAAGGAAGCTATTAAAGTCCATTTCCTGGTATTGCCTTGACCTCGCCAGGGCGTGCTCACATTGAAGTGAATGTCCCTTAGAGGAGAATATTTTTCACCTTCAAAAATCCATCACCCAGCCTCAACTCCCCCACATCAAACAAGCCTGCAGGCATTTTGAAAATGTGCTTAGCCGAAGCCTGATGCCCTCAACGTTTACTTCCTACCGCAGCTAGTTTCAGCCTATTTACTTGGCTTTGGGGTTCTTCTGAGCAAAGCCAGCTGCTTCTTTGTTTCTAGACTTTTTTCACCACCCCGCCCCCAGTGTCAGTCTCTCCCTTACGATCCCCTAAACAGGTCCTGCTCACCCCTTCTTAGCTTTTCTCCATAATCCCTGCCTCCCTCTCGCCCTTATGGTTGTAAAAGTCATACCATCCTCTCTTCCCAAGTGCTAACAGACGTAAGGAATATGAGAAAAAAAGAAATGGTCAAGATCTAGCTTAAAAAAAAAAATTCAAACATTCTTGAGCATTTCATTTTTCTCCCTCTCACCTGAACTCCTATGGAACTCATCATGTCTTTGCTACCCAATTGAGGACTTGTGGTCGCCAACCCCCAGGATGGCCCCCCATGAGTCTCTACCCTTGGGTAGCCCCTCCCCAAATGAACAGGGCCAGCCTGTGTAACTGATGGGTTTTTGTGGCATGAAGTTTCATAATACCATGCGCCGTGTCTCTGCCTTGCTCACTTGGATCCCTCATTGGAGAAGCCAGCCACCATACCATGAGGACACTCAGGCAGCCCCATGCAGGGGCCCATGGAGGGGTCCATGTAAAGAAGAACCGAAGCCTCCACCCAAGAGCCAGCACCAACTTGGCAGGATGGGAGTGATCACCTTGGAAGTAAGGCAACAACTTGTCTGCAAATTTTTTTTTAAGATTTTATTTATTTATTCATGAGACAGAGAGAGAGGCAGAGACACAGGCTGAGGGAGAAGCAGGCTCCATGCAGGGAGCACAACGTGGGACTCGATCCCGGGTCTCCAGGATCACACCCTGAGCTGAAGGCAGGTGCTCAACCGCTGAGCCACCCAGGAGTCCTAAAAAAAAAAAAAAATTTTTTTTTTTAAAGACGGTCACCATGAGGAGTGCAAGAAGGAGCCTGATAGAATGGGTGGCAGGCAAACCTCCACTGAGTAGGTCTTTTGTGGCACTTTGCTCCACCATTGACCTGCTAACTCAATAACTGCTTTAAAAATTCAATTTACCAGGGTGCCTGGGTGACTCCGTTAAGCATCTGACTCTTGATTTCAGCTCAGGTCATGATCTCAGGGTGGTGACATGGAGCCCCTGTCTGCCTCTGCGTTCCGTGGGGAGTCTGCTTGGAATTCTCTCCTTCTCTCTCTTCCTCTCACCCTCCATCTCCTCTAAAATAAATAAATAAATATTTTTAAAAATTTCGTTTTACCACACATTTGTTGACGTCCTGCTAGGAACAGAATCTCAGCCCCTGAAGATTAAGAGGTCAGGTTCCCTGCTTCCGAGGTGCTGACATCTAGTGAGGAAGACGGATAAAATCAGAATGTATTATCAGACCACTTTAAAGGCCTGGACAGGGGAGGAGGAGTACGGTTGCTGGGCTCCTGTTTTCAAATAGGAACATCGTGGTCATGGTCACTTGAATGTCATCCCTGCGGCCTGCTTGGCCTCTTGCATCTGGAAGCAGGATGCCAGGCTAGATGAAAAAGAATTGCTTTTACGTCCTGTTCCAAGGGCTTCCTGTCTTTCCTGGAAAGACAGAAGAAGGGAAAGAAAGCACAGGCTCTTGTTCCAGCCTGCGACTCTCTGCGGAACTATGAGTCACCCCTGGGAAACGGTCTGCAGAACCCCCCGGCACATCACTCGCTTTTGCGTGGTTATCTTGACCGCGGCATGAGACTGAATGTGTGCCATGGGCCGGCCTGCGTGGATGTGCAGAAGAGCCATACCAGGCTTGGGGACGCCCCTCGCAACCCCAAACTCTCCATGGGCTGCTGCTGCCTGCTACCCTCGCTGGCCAGAATCGACTGACTCTGTGCATAGCCCCGGGAGCCTGCTGGCATTAGGTACTGGGGTTGGAGCTGGGGATTTGATACTTAGGATATGTCTTGGGGGGAACCCCAGGTTTATAAATTACCACATGGTACGGAACTCTGAGGTTACTAGAGCCAGTTGAGAGGACAATTTTTTTTTTTAGGATTTGTATTTATTCATTCATGAGAGACACAGAGAGAGGCAGACACAGACAGAGGGAGAAGCAGGCTCCCTGTGGGGAGCCCGATGCAGGATTCAATCCCAGGACCCTGGGATCAAAGGCAGACGCTCAACCACTGAGCCACCCAGGCATCCTGAGAGCACAATTTTAACTCAGTAGGGAGGCACTTAGTATTCTAGCGGGCTCTCACAGAGGCTCCACATTCAGCTGGTATCATCAGACCCCTGGCCTCATGGCAAGGAGATGCTGAAGCCCTTCCTAGGGTCAACACCCCCACCTACAAGAGTTTCCCAGGGCTGCCCTAACAAAGTACAAAAACTGGGTGACTCGAAGCAACAGAAATGCACTGTCTCAGTGCTGAAGGCTGCAAGTTCTAAGTCAAGGTGTGGACAGGGCTACACTCTCAGCTTCAGGGGAGAGTCCCCCTTTGCTGGGCCTCTGGTGTTGGCCAGCACTTCTTGGCACCCCTTGGCTTGTGGATGCATCACCCCACCCGCCTGGCCCTCTTCTCCCTGTGTGTCTTCACATTGACTTCCCTCTGTCCAAACTTCCCCCTTTGATAAGGGCACCAATCATAGTGGGTTAGGGCCCACCTGACCTCATTTTAACTGAATTTCCTCTGGAGAGTCCCCATTTCCAAATAAGGTCACATTTTAAACTGCTGGGTATCAGGACTTGGACATGTCTTTTGGGGCAAGGGAGACACAATTCAATCCATACCATCAGCCTTACCAGACCATTCTTGGCAAGGCCTGTAGCCAAGGGAAGAGATGGAGACAGAGACAGAGACAGAGGCAGAGGCAGAGAGTACCAGGATGGAGCAAGGTCATAGAGGAGAGAGTAAGAAGCAGACCCAAGAGCACACACAGCTGGACACGGTGGCCTTAAACAGGAGAAATGTAGCTTACCCTCTCAGAGATGAGTGTGAGGAGGGGGTGGGGTGGGGAGGGGGTCAAGGCTGCCAGCTGCTTAGCCAAACTAATGCCATGTGGCCTGTGGAGAATGAGACTGATGGAGGTTTGGTCAGGCCTGAGAAGAGAGCAGGACTGATGTGTAGGAGAACTGCAGAGGGAACTGTGTCCGAGGAAGCAGGGAACCAGTGCTGTGGCCTAGGGGCCGAGGGGGTGGGGGAGAAGGGGAAGAGTAGAGAGGTGGTGTCCTGGGAGTTAGAGTTCTGCAGGGAGAGGAACTGAGGGAGGACAGAGGGGAGTCTGTTTAGGAAGGGGGTTTCTAGAGCCAGGCAGAGGTGGGTCGTGGAGAAGTGTGCAATGCAGGGGCAGGGTGAGGGGTGTGAGGCAGTGGTTGGAGCCCCCGGCTACACCCCTGGGGATGCTTGCAGTCCAGAGAGGATGTGGCGCTCTGGGTGCAGCCAGTGTCACAAGCAGGCAGGCACCAGGGCCAAAGAAGAAGAATGAAACGTGGCTCTGATGGGGGTGCAGGGAGACCTTCCCAAAGGGGGGCTTTGGGGTTGCAGCAACTGCAGAAGATGGGGTGGAGGGGATTCAGGCAGAGGATAGAGGCCAGAGCCAAAAGCAGGTTCAACATGTGCGGGGGTGGGGTGGAGTGGGGGTGGGGGTGGGCAGCCCCCGTGGCACAGCGGTTTAGCTCCGCCTTCAGCCTCGGCCTGATCCTGGACACCCGGGATCGAGTCCCACGTCGGGCTCCCTGCATGGAGCCTGCTTCTCCCTCTGCCTGTGTCTCTGCCCGCCCCCTCGCTCTCATGAATACATAAAATCTTAAAAACAAAACAAAACATGTGCGGGGAGTTGCGGGGGGGAAGCAAGTCACCTGAACTGACCATAGTAGAACAGGGTCTTGGGGAGTGTTGGTGCGGGTGGGCCAGCCTTGGAACGTCAGGAGGAGGGGTGCGGTCCTTATTGGGGAGGCAACTGGGAGTCATAGAAGGTTGGGGAGGAAGGGAGGCTAGCAATCCTTGAGGAAGATAAATTCTCAGGGTTCAAATTGGAAAAAAAAAAAAAACAAAAAACCAAAAAACCAAGTTTGTTGTCTGTAGAGCAGCCTTGGCTTTGAACCTAGCAGGGCCGGCTGCCCACCGAAGAGAGAGACAGAGGAGGCAAAGGGGCAGAGCTACTGTTTCCAAGGCCAAGGTGCCAGCTAGCGTTGCTGGGGAAGGAGAAAGCCAGAAAGGAGGGAGGAAAGGGGCGAGGGGAGGGAGGCAGGGAAGCTGAGTTGAGCTGAGGGAGCAGAGAAATGGGAGGAGGGGCTGGATCTGGCACAGCCTGTCGAAATACACAAAGGGAAACCCACAAATGTCAAAATGCTCGCAGGTGCTCGGGCTTTCATTTCCTTTGCTTATCCAAGATCAGTCATCTTCCGGCGCCCTTCCAGAAGGAGCCCTCCCCGGGAAAGGCAGGGGCCGAAGGCAGCTGGGCGGAACCCTGGAAAGCCCCTCGCTTTGGAAAGTCACTGTAGGATGGACGCTGGCTCGGGCTCCCCCATCTGTTCCTGAGGAACGAAGCTGTTGCTAGAAGCAGAAGGAAGGGGCTGAAGGTCCGGAAGACCGAGTCTGTGCCCGGCACAGGAACACTGGGCACCCAAAAACCCCAGAGGCTGGGACCTGTTGGTAGCCAGTGTCCTTTGGGGTCATCAGCTGGTGTCCACTTGGGCCAAAGCAGCCCAGTGCAGAATTTAGAGTGTTCACTCTAGAACCAGCCTGCCTGGGGTGGGGGTGAAGGGGAGTCTCAGCTCTGCTGCTTACTGTTCAAGGCTACGTGACCTGAGCTGGTGACTCTAAGCCTCTTTATTTTTTTATTTTTTTTAATTTTTTTTAATTTTTTTTATTTATTTACGATAGTCATACAGAGAGAGAGAGAGGCAGAGACACAGGCAGAGGGAGAAGCGGGCTCCATGCACCGGGAGCCCGACGTGGGACTCGATCCCGGGTCTGCAGGATTGCGCCCCGGGCCAAAGGCAGGCGCCAAACCACTGCGTCACCCAGGGTTCCCCGACTCTAAGCCTCTTTGACTCAGTTTCCTCAGCTGTAAGATGGGGATCATAATTGTAGCTTTCTTGTAGGGCCACAGTGGAGGAAAAACACTTCGAGCAGGGAGAACCAACTTTCCCTGCATTTAGCTATGCTGTGTGTCTTGTGTCTTCACAGGACATTTATACCGAACTCACCAGGGTGTGTGTGTGTGTGGGGGGGGTGTTGCAACGCATTATAATAGTTACGTATTAACTTTGGGACTTTGGGGCTGGACTGTCAGGTTTGAATCCCTCACCTCTTCGACTTCCTAGTTCTGTGTCTGTCCCATCAGGTTCTCGCCTGAACAATGGGGACTGTGTCACAGTACCTCCCTCTGGGGGTTGTCAGGAAAATGAAGTGAGCGGTCTTTAAAACACTTAAAATAGGGATCCCTGGGTGGCTCAGCGGTTTAGTGCCTGCCTTCAGCCCAGGGTGTGATCTTTCAATCCCAGGATCGAGTCTCACACTAGGCTCCCTGCATGGATTCTCCCCCTGCCTGTGTCTTTGCCTCTCTCTCTCTCTCTAATGAATAAATAAATAAAATCTTTTAAAAAATAAATAAATAATAAAACACTTAAAATAGTGCGTGGCTCATAACTGGCTGATGTCACAGGCATTTGTGATTGCTGTCATCAGGCCTGAAAGGCCTTGAAGGGTTTTGAAGGAGAAGCGATGCCTCCAGCACTGTTCCAGGGGAACAGAAAGACCCTCATGCCACCCTAGGTAAAGGGATTGCAGTGACATGTCCGTGCATCCAAGGGGCAGGTGGCAAAGTCAAAGGGACAGCTGGACCTCTCACGGGCTGGAGCTCAACAGACAGAAATTGAGACTCCTTGGGCCACACGGTTCCCTCATGTCTGTTCTCTGCGTGTCTTTCTGAATCTCCTTCTTCTCTCATGTGTTGATTGAAAGCCTGCTCTATGCCAGGCATGGCGCCAAGCACTGGCTGGCTATAGTACTCGGATAAAAGAAGCAAGCCCCTGCCCTCCTGGGACTGACATTCCAGCAACACGGAGAGAATCATGTTATTGTCAACCATGCTGTGGCAGGTTTCAGAATTTTCTTCCCTTTAAAGGCTGAAAAATATTCTGTTGTATGTGTAGACCACATTTTACTTATCTATTCATCAATGGAGAGAAATGAGAGGGAGGGGGCACTTGGGTTGCTTCCATCTCCGGACTATTGTG